TGAACAGAGTGACACAAAAACCTAACTGACAGACGTGATTCGTGACAATAAGCTAATGCTAATACAATTGTTAAGCTTCAAAACATCCATCCATCCATTATCTTTGCCCACTTCTTCCTTTTTTGGGTCGCGGGGGCCACTGGTGCCCATATCCAGCAATCACAGTGCGAGAGGCAGGGACAGGTCTCCAGTCTATCACAGGGACACATAGAGACAAACGAGACAAACAACCATTCACTCTTTCACTCACACCTAGAGACAATTTAAAGTTACCAATCACCCTAACATGCATGTTTTTGGTCTGTGGGAAAAAACTGGAGTACCTGGAAAAACCCACACAGCATGGAGAGAACATGCAAACTCCACCCAGAAAGGTCCCGGGCCGGGATTTGAACCGGCAACCTTATTGCTGAGAGGTGGCAGCTCTACCAACTGAGCCACTGTGCAGCCTAACTTCAAAACAATGCTTTTTTAAAGTCTCTCCATCTATACACTGTATCAGAAGTCTTGAAAGCTGAATAAAATTGTTGTTTATATTGTTTATATTTAAAAAAGCAACAAAAGTTATAAATTGAATGACTTGAGTTTATTGATGTGGATGGCCGACCGATGGTTGTGGTGGAGAAAAGAGGTTTTCATTGCATTTTGGAGTTGTAAGAGCCACGGTTCTACCCTCCAATATAAATGACACAGGGCTTTCCAGTATGAAAAAGTTCTCCATTACCTGGCATTTTCCCCTTGTTAATTATACCAGAAAAACAACTTCAAGAAAAACATGAACTCGGGTTTTCTTCATTGCAAGGTAGAGCTATTGACAACAAATAATCTTGATCGGAGCATCCCTAATTTGTCCAAAGTAAAGTCAGGTCCTCTGCATGGTTTCTTTTTTTGGTGAAACGTTTCATCTTTCATTTGGACAAAGGATGAAACGTTTCAACAAAAAAAGAAACCATGCAGAGGACCTGACTAAATTTGTTGGATGTCTTACCTGGATTATTGAGCATGAACTTTGATCACTAGTTTGTGTGTGTTAACAATGAGGGTCACATTCTTGTGTGAGTAAAAATATTCTTACCTTCTATTTCTTTACAGTGTAAACTACTTTAGTCCATCCGAAACAACATGTTACCTTCATATGTGTGTAGATGTGATCCATGGTCTCTGACTGATGATCACAGAAGAGGCAAACAGCAGAAACTGGATGAGCCTGCCAGTCCGACCAGTCACTATGGAAAGCACAAAGATGGAGCTAGTGAAACATGATAAATTGGTATTGATATTGGCCTGGCCAAAAAAAAAAGGTTGCACACTAATATTTTGTTGGACCGCCTTTAGCTTTGATTATGGCATGCATTCACTTTTTTTTTTTCTGATTCAGATATTCTTTATTGTCGTTCGCACCACATGTGGGACATGTGGCGGAATGAAATTATGTACACGGGGTCCCAGTTATATCCAACAAGAAAATGTAAAAGAAAAACAGTAATAAAATCTAAGATATGAACTAAGACTATGAACTAAGAAAAACATCAACTAAATAATACACTAAGCACTGATAACATAAAAACAATACGCCGAACAGCAACAGGAATATGACTCTGTGTGAGCAGATAAGTACGAATGACCACAGCAACATGAAACAGATCAGCAGCAACATTGAAACAGATCAGCAGCAACATGACGTGATTTTTCACAGTGATTATTCTGGTTAGAGATTCATGAGTCTAACAGCCTCAGGGTAGAAGCTGTTCCTCAGTCTAGTGGTTCTACACTTAATGCTCCTTAACCTCCTTCCTGAGGGGAGCGGGGCAAAAAAGTGTGTGTGCTGGGTGAGTGGGGTACTTCATGATGCAGGTGGTCCTCTTCTTGCATCTGGAGGTGTAGATGTCTGTGATGGTGGGGAGACTGACTCCAACATCTTCTGTGCAGCCTTCACCACTCTCTGCAAAGCTTTTCTTTCTGCAGCTGTGCAGCCTCCATGCCACACGTTGATGCTGGAGCACAGGATGCTCTCCACTGCACACCTGTAGAAGGAGGTGAGGACTGAGCTTCCCAGACCAGCTCGTCTCAGCCGCCTGAGGAAGTAGAGTCTCTGATGTGTTTTCTTTATCAGGCTGGTGGTGTTGTTGCTCCAGCTGAAGTTATCTCATTCAGGTGTACACCCAAGTACTTGTAGCTGGAGACCACTTCCACCGCAGATCTTCTTATGCTCGGTGGGGTGGGGGTAGATGTGTTTGTTCTTTCTGAAGTCCACAATCATCTCCTTTGTTTTCTTCATAGTGAAGGTTATTCTCCTAGCACCAGCTCTCCAGGTGTTCCACCTCCTGCCTGTAGCTGGGCTCATCGTGGTTTGTGATGCATCCCACCACCGCTGTATCATCTGCAAATTTTAGAATATGACAGCCTGGATGGGTAGCTGCACAAGCAGTCCACAGTGTGGACCACAGAGGAGATGGCATCCTCTGTTAATCTATTCTTGTGGTATGCGTACTGATGAGGGTCCTCGCTGATGTTGATGTTAGCTTTGATGTGGGTCATGACCAGTTTTTCCAAAGCATTTAGTGACTATAGGGGTGAGGGCTACCAGCCAATAGTCATTCAGGCCAGTCACTGTAGGGCTCTTTGGAACTGGGATGATGGTGGTAGTCTTGAGGCAGGTGGGAACTGTTGCCAGGGTGAGGGAAGAGTTAAATATGTCGGCCAGCACCTTACAGAGCTGATCGGCACAGTCTTTCAGCACCTTCCCCGGGATGTTGTCTGGGCCAGTTGCCTTGTGAGGATTAATCCTCCTGAAAGTACTCCTTACTTCTGATGAGGTCACACTGAGGAACTCTTCTTCTAGTGATGAGGTGAGTCTGTTGCTGGGTGGTCTGTTCGGGTCCTCAAAGCGTGCATAGAACCTGTTGAGAGCATCAGGTAGTGATGGATCCCTAGGGCATTGTGCACTTCTGCCTTTATAATATGTTATGCACTTAATGCCCTTCCACATGTTCCATGGGTCTTGTGAGGAGAAGTGTCCCTGCAGCTTCTGCGCATATGCTGCTTTGGCCCTTTCAATACCAGCATCCAGATCTAACCTTGTCCTCCTCAGCTTCTGTGAATTGCCAGACCTGAAGGCAGTGTCCATGGCTTCCAGCAGGGTGAGAACCTCTGCATTGAGCGAGGGCTTTTGGTCTGGATAGCTCTTCACATTCCTGAAGGTGGTGACATCATCAGTGCACTTACGAAAGTAACACAGGACTGAGGATGTGTATTCTTCCAGGTCTAGTGCTCCCTCCTTTACAGCAGCCTCCCTGAAGATCTGCCAGTCTGTGCATGCAAAGCAATCTTTCAGTATAGTCACTGTTTCTCACCCACCCCTTAAATTTCCTTTGTGTTGTTTTGAAGCATCTCGGGGGGGGGGGGGGGGTAAGCAGGAGCACGAGTTCAAGGTGGGGTACAGCTTTAAATGCGGCTTTCACGTTGGTGTAAACACGGTCTAGTGTGTTATTTCCTTGTGTAAGAATGGTCACATGCTGATAAAAACTTGGTAGTGTCTCCCTCAGATTTATATGGTTGAAATCTCCAGCCACCACATAAAAAGCCTCCAGGTGTTTGTTTTGAAGCGAGCTGATGTTATTATTTAGCTCCTTCAGGGCATCGTTAGCATTAGCATCAGCTGTTATAAATACCGCCGGGAATCTCGGCGGGGTAAATAATGTGGTCGACACTTCACAGTTAGTTGTTCTAAAGCATCGGAGCACCTAACTGTGACGTGTCGACCACATTATTTACCCACATTATTACTCCCTTTGGGATAAATCAATTTATTCCGTTTCTGAGTTTTATTTGCGGACTCACATACCATACCATACCATACCATACCAATTTATTTATAGAGCACTTAAAACAGCAACAAGGCCAACCAAAGTGCTGTACAGTAGAAAAAAACAAGCACAGCTGACAGGAAAACTAAATAAAATAAAAATATAGATACAAATAGCAGCAGACAATAACTAAATGTCCAACACTATAGAATACAGACAGGATCAAAACAAATCACACCGTGTCAAAGGCAAGGGAATAAAAGTGGGTTTTCAAGCGAGACTTAAAGACTGAGTGTGGGAGCCTGCCTGACACGCAGTGGCAACTCATTCCACAGTCTTGGACTTGCAACAGAGAAAGCCCTGTCACCTCTGAGCTTACGGCAGGTTTCTGGAACTGAAAGAAGCATCTGGTCTGCTGACCTCAGAGAGCATGGTGGGACATATGGCTGCAGAAGATCAGTGAGATAGGATGGGGAAGACTTACATGTTCCTGCTAAGGATACTTACTCATTGTCATCTACCAAATCCCGGTCATCTTCACTCTGAACCTCCTCCCAGGTTTTCCCCAGCTCCTTAAAGGAGAACACAGACTGATAAGAGAAAAAAACAAAACATTTTTCTACATGTTCATCACAACATGTTTCATTTCCATCTCAGTTACTGAAAAGAAGCTGAAGGCAAGATGCAGAGGGAAAGCAACAGGAAGGGTGTTTATTTTTTCTCATGTCAACGTAACGTATGAAGATAAAACAGTCTCCAAAGTAGTTACACAAGCATACGAGATTTGTATGCGTACAATTACACCAGTGTACCAGAAGTTTTACAAATGCGTACTACAAGATTCATAAACGCATAAACAGTTATTCAAATGTACACACTTCAATTTGCACAAGTAGGAATATTTTGTACATACAAATGGTCAAACACACATGCACAAATCACCTGCTGTGGACAAATCAGTCAACATGAGCACACAGATCAGCTGCCTGTGAATGTGACTTTTAGACTTTCTTACCACTCTAGATTCACAAAGGTGATGCTGCGTTCAAGGCTTGTAAAAAGCTGGGACATCTGAGTCTTACCAGATACACTAAGTTATTATATTATTATTAAATTGTTTTATTATTATTATTATTTATTATTATTATTTTATTATTTAGTATTATTTTAGTGTGTAATGAGACAGCCGAGAGATGGATTTAGCTCAGGGGTGCTCTCTTACATTTTATAATATATGGACTAATTCAAGTACATAATATTATACTCAATTTAAACGGATTCTTTCATTTTTCTGGACTAAGTAATATCGTGTCTAGACTAGAAGATTAAATGTGGACAAAGACGTGTTTAAATTTCTGACCCACCACAACAGTGCGGTCTTTTATTTATCAAAACGATTTAAACACATCACACATTTACACATTGATTGGCATAATTGATTACAATAACACAGCTTAATTAATGAGCTTTACAATGAGAAATCATACGGCCATGATTGCTCACTTGCAACTGAAAACAACAGACATATCCTTAGATCTTAAATTAATGTCTGCAGGCTTAGCTTATCTTTTACTGGCAGATAGAAGAGTTTTAAAGATGGGGAATGAAGGAGTTTAAATGGAGAGAAAAGATGTGGATAAGGATGTATGTCTGTAGACCAGAACAACACGCTCCTTTCAAGCGCAGTTCGCCCGCAGTACACTGGTAGTGAAGCTCATGACGACTCTTCTACCTTGGCAGAGGATGAATCAGCTACGGTCAAGAGGTCCCTGGTACGCTACCTTTCAGCGTCTCCTCAGGGCGGCTGCGACTCGGCAGAAGTCGTGAGAACTCGTTCCACAGAACAAACTTCCTCAGAAGTTATAGGGCATTCACCGGGTGGAGCCACAGCGAGGCATCGTGGCTCCGACAGGAACTCCAGCCGAACTCCATCAGAACCAGAAGAACTAACGGGACTCTGAGAAGACTCAGAGGAACTCAGAACTTCTGTTCTCTCTCGGAACTTCTGTTCTTCCCCAGAACTTCTGTTCTCCTGTGCTCCCAGAACTAACTGGAAATAGGAAGTGTCGACTTTTAAAGAGTTCTGCTTCCGGTCCCTTTTGTGAAGTCCTGATTGGTTGAAAGAACCAACAGGGGTGTGGTTTTAGTGACGTAAGAGGTTACTACAAGTCAGAAAAACAGCGGAGATGTTTAGGAACAGACAGAGAAATGTTTTGGCGAAGTGGGAGGAAGCAGGTGCCAGTAGCTTCTTATTTACCGTCTGCTAGGTTTAAAAACAATCCACTTCGTTCTAATAACTTCTTTCTGACTTTCGACCGACATCACTACTTCTCATTTCAGACAGAAGATCAAAATGCATAATTACTTTGTAACAGACATTAACTTGATTTCTACTTTGAATGAGGATTAAAAATCATTAATACTGTTTCACAGTTGATTTAAAATGAGTGGTTCACTTCAACATTTAAAATGATTTGAACTAAACACACTTTTGATTATCAAGACATTTGTAAAAATAGTAATGACAATATAAAAAGAGAGTGTTCTTTCAATTGATTAGTTCAGGATACAATTAGACAGTCTCTGGATGAGCTAATTTGTATTTCTGGGTTCAAATCAATGAAATAACAGTTCCTGTCCCATGAAGGTCCTCAGAGGCAGGTTTTGACCTGAGGCTTAGTTCACTACAAGTGCTAGGCAAAGATAAAATGTTTTATTCGCAATCAATCTCAAATATTTTTGCGATTAATCTCATTAGTATGCATAAAATTAAATTGTGACAAAGATGTTTAGAACATTTTTAAGATACTGTTTTATATTAAAAAAAGTTCAATACATTAAAAAAGCACTTTTTAACAGCAATGTTCACCTAGCAATTAAAGTATTTTTAGTGACATAAACATGAACATATCAAATATGAAACCAAAGCTATTCATCAGGGCAAAATGTTTTTAGTTTATTTTTGAGAGAAAATAAAAATATTCCTTCTAACCTAAAACCACAATCATAGCAGTTTAACAAATAATTAATAACAACATAAAAAATAAAAAAATACAGTAGTCCCTTGCTACTTTGCAGTTTGTTTATCGTGGACTCACTCTATCGCGTTTTTTCAAAATAAAATTGGACATGACACAATTAGGGCTGGGCCATATCATATTGTTCACGATAATACCGGTAAAAAAAAGCTTGCCCGGGAAAATAAATGATATCACGATATGATAATTTCATGACGTAAATACGTCAGTGTTTGTTTGCCTCGCCCCGTTAACAGAACCAAGCACGCCGAACTACCAAACCAAACTGCGCACCCCTCCATCCACCTGTTGGTACTGGTGTAATGCTAACTAGCTGCGCCCAATACTAGCTAGCTAAAATTCTAAAAACAAAACGCATAGTTTGGCTGCATTTTTCCATCCAGCTCTAAACAGCAGGTACACACAGTGACAACTCAACTGTCTCTCCCTCCCCCCAGTGCGGCTCGGCTTTTTTCTCTCCCCCCACCCCGCTCTGGGCTGCCGGTGCGGGAGCAGTTCGGCTGGGAACCCCCCGCTTTAAACTGCCGGTACAAACACACGCAGGTGAGCTGTGACTGCAGGTGATCAAAGACAGAGCAGTCAGAGAAATGAATCATTCCTGTAGGAATAAAGGAAGCTGAAACACCACAAGCTTCAGGGTCAGTTGATCACCTTCTCACAAGTTTTGGAAGTTATGTCTCATTTAAAGGCAACATATGATTTGTTATATATTTATGCTCAACAGACTTTAAGCTTAATTTTATTCAGATATTCTGGGAAACTGCACCTGCACTTTAATTTTTGTGGAAGATTTTCCATCCATCCATCCATCTATCCATTATCTTCAGCTTATTCCGAAGTTGGGTTGTGGGGGTAACATCTTGAGCAGGGATGCCTAGACATCTCTTTCCACAGCCACCTCTTCCAGCTCTTCTAGGAAGATACCAAGGTGTTCCCAGGCCAACCGAGAGACATAGTCTCTCCAGCATGCCCTGGGTCTTCCCCAGGGTCTCCTCTCAGTTGGACATGCCCAAAGCACCTCTCCAGGGAGGCGCCCAGAGGGCATCCTTACCAGATGCCCAAACCACCTCAACTGGCTCCTCTCGATTTGGAGGAGTAGCCGTTCTACTCCGAGTCTCTCCCAGATAACTGAACTTCTCACCCTATCTCTAAGGGAGAATCCAGCTACCCTGCGGAGAAAACTAATTTCAACCGCCTGTAGCCGCAATCTCATTCTTTCGGTCAATACCCAGTGTTCTTGACCATAGGTGAGGGTAGGAATGTAGACCGACCAGTAAACAGAGAGCTTTGCCTTACAGCTCAGCTCTCTCTTCACCACAACGGACTGGTACAGAGTCTGCAATACTGCAGATGCTGCACCAATCCGTCTGTCAATCTCACGGTGCATTCTTCCCTCACTCGTGAACAAAACCCCGAGATACTTGAACTCCTCCACTTGAGGCAGAACCTCACCCTCGACCTGGAGAGAGCAATCTGCTCTGTTCCGGTTGAGGACCATGGCCTCAGATTTGGAGGTGCTGATTCTCATCCCAGCCGCTTCACACTCGGCTGCGAACCGCTCCAGTGAGAGCTGAAGATCACGGCAAGATGACGCCAACAGGACCACATCATCTGCAAAGAACAGAGATGGAATCCTGAAGCCACCGAACCGGAAACCCTCTGCCAGCTGGCAGCACCGAGAAATTCTGTCCATAAAACTTATGAACAGCATCGGTGACAACGGGCCGCCCTGGCTGAGTCCAACTCCCACCCTGAAGGGGTCTGACTTACTACCGGCAATACGAACCAAACTCTCGCACTGCTTGTATAAGGACTGAACAACCCAAAACAACGGGCCTCCAATCCCATACTCATGGAGTACCCCCCACAGTGTATCCCGAGGAACACAGCCGAATGCCTTCTCCAAGTCCACAAAACACATGTAGACTGGATGGGCAAACTCCCATGACCCCTCAAGGACCCTAGTGAGGGTAAAAAGCTGATACAGTGTTCCACAACCAGGACGGAACCAGCATTGTTCCTCCTGGAGCTGAGGTTCGACGAACACTCGGACTCGCTTCTCCAGTACCCCTAAATAGGCCTGACCAGTGAGGCTAAGGAGAGTGATGCCCCTATAGTTGGAGCACACCCGCCAGTCCCCCTTTTTGAAGAGGGGAACCACCACCCCAGTCTGCCAATCCAGTGGCACTGCCCCCGATGTCCACGCGACGTTGGAAAGGCCTCACAGCATCCAGAGCCTTAAGGAAATCGGGGTGAATCTGATCCACTCCTGGAGCCCTGCCACCTCGGAGCTTTTTAACTATCTTTGCGACCTCAGCCACAGTTATGGACAGATCAACCCCAAAGTTCCCCGACTCAGCTTCCTCCTTGGAAGATGTGTTGGTGGGATTGAGAAGGTCTGAAAAGTATTCCTTCCACCTCTCGACAACATCACTGGTAGATGTCAACAGTACCCAACCTTCACTGAACACAGTGTTAGCAAAGTGTTGCTTTCCCCTCCTCAGCTGCCTGACGGTTTGCCAGAATCTCATCGG